TATACAGTCCACTTATTAGTTTAGAATCATAGTACAAACCCATACTAATTTAGTATACAATAACAACGCAAATACATTTGAAAAAGAAGCGGCGCAGAAGGAATTACTGCTTGCAATAGAAATACTACTCCCAAGGATACATATCAAGAGCCTGTTTAGAAAAAGAACACGTGAAATCTGGAAAAACGAATAGAATGGAATACAAGAAGGAAGAATAGTATGTAAATTGTGCAAGTCCCCTCGTATGATCACATTCCGTGTAATTTCTTCAATCTATTCATAACGGACATGGCCCTTTTCCTACATACTATTTTGCCAGAAATCTAAACGAAAGAAAGATATGCATATGTGGGAAAAGACGCCACCATCCGCATTTTATATTTACTGTCGTCTCAAAAGGGAAGCCCATTTCAAACCCAAGCAGTCAATCACACCAAAAGATATTAGATATATCCTGAATGGGGAGCAATCAAGACAAAAAATCTCGAAAATTATGATGCAGCTTATGGCATACTCTATGAAACGAATAAAAATGGGCACCTATGAACCACGAAATATAAATATATACCAAAGCATTTTAAAATGCCAGCTGGTATTTCCAAATGAAATAATTAGAATTGTATATATAGAAACGCAGAATGCATGAATGAGACCGGCAACATGAAGGCACCGACCAATAGGATAAAGGTATGAACGTTACACACTGTGTTCGTTTGTGTGGATTCCTTTTTGCATCAGATCCCGAGGCAGGGTGCTGTGTGACCTGTAATGGATGTTGCCCTAGCACAGTAGTGCGACAGAGCAATGCCTGTAAATCCATAAGTAAATTTCTGGTGCTCCGTCCACTTTTCCCTATAGCTATGTAAATGTTAAGAAATATAATAAATAATATATATGCATAAACTTCGCATATGTTGATATAAAATTTATTTGAAAGACATTAGAATGTATCATAGTCTATTTCGGCAATTCTGCTACAGAATTCGCATTTTAATTTGAGGAAACTCAACTAATTCATCTAAGAGAAGATTATTGGAACTCATTTAACAACATCGGGGAGTCTCGAGCATTATCGGCAAGAAATGTCTCCAAATGTCTCAAGTAGAAATATTATACATATAATTCCGAAAATAATTTCGCGAGTAGCATAATTTATGAACATCGAAATCTTATCGTATCATCTCCATTAATAATACCCGTATAAAATCATTATTTTAAATATAGCTCCAATTCGCTAACTTTCTTTATTCATATCGCAGATAAAACTTTTATCAATTAATCACTTTAATTAAATTGTTTTGTGAACACTTGAATACATTTCTCTATACTAATGTCTTTTATTATTGCACATATGACTGGTTGTTGCTTTATTAATGAAATGGCTTTCTCTTGCTTATTGAATAATTTTAAGTATTTTAGAAATTCTAACTAATTATTGGAAATTAATAAGCAAGTACTTTTTAAGCTAGCCTTCACTTGTTTATTACTTTACTTAATTATGTTATTTTAATATACAGAGGGCGTTCAATATGTTTTAGCTCATTGTATGGGACAAAGTATTTATGATGATTTATTCGGTTTTTTCTCTTTACACAATTTCTTTCAATACTCCTATCACTTCAACAGCTACCACGGGCAGAAAAAAAACGTTTTATCGCAGCTCCGAAATCATACATGAATATGATTTTTGATACCATCTTCGTCTTTGAAGCATGGACTACGCAAGTTCTGTTTTACGTTTTGAAGGAAACTCCCTACAGCTAGCTCTGGTGAACACTATGGGTGTAGGGGAATCTGCATTGCTGAATAACAGTCTCGAAATTCTGAGCCTTTTATTTAATATATTGCATAACGAAAGCAAACCTTTCTTGCGAGTATGTTACAATGTTTTTCCTACGTTGTGCGTCGCGCAAAAAAATGGCATAATGAATAAGGTTAAAAGAATGTTTTATAAAATCAACTTGTTTCTAAAACTCGTAATATAATTAATGAACTAAAAGAAGAAAAATAATTTATCTTACAGTGTCATGGGAACAGGAGATTAAATAATTAATTCCCTTTCGTCTACAATTACGAATAATAACTATATTACGTATAATAAAGGAGTGGGCGCCTTTGATAAATTTATAAAGGTAATAGGTCATAACTTTTGACAATGGAATTCGATTAATGGCTTTCTTTATTTGGCCGCCCACAATTTTATTATTCATGATACAAAATTAAGATGAATTTTGAAAGAATAATTATTTAATCTCTTTTTCTCACGAAACTGTGTGATACGTTATTTTCTTCTTAATTAATTTCAGTTAGTTTCTTAGATCATTAATTATATTTTGGTTTTTAAATAAAAGTTTATTTTATAAAACTTATTTTTACCTTATTTTATTTTCACCTTTTTAGTCTCAATGACACATTGCCAGTTAAATTATTCAATAGGAAAATCATTTTGAAAACCCCGGTGAAATATCACCTTTTTGCTGTAAACAATTCTGTTAAATCAAATGGTCGCTACAATGCAGCGATTTCCAAAAATTCGCCGAAAAATCGGAAATTGTTTTAAGAATTATGTGTATGAACTTCATTTAAAAGATTTTTCCTCTCTCTCTCTATTCCATGGTAGAAGCAGTAAAATTTTGAGAGTTTTAATTAGTTCATTAAACGAAGGTATATGCAAAAAATGGATTCAATATTAAATTTTAAAAAATATAAATCGAATTTTGAAAATATACAGTCTTTTTTTTTTTTTTTTTTAATGACTGTGTGCAAAATGATGCATATTTTGAGCTGGATGGTTTACCAGGAATTAATTTTTTAAAAAAAAATCAAAAGCAAAGTTTTGACAGTAGAGAAAATCATCATGAGCGAATTAAAAAAAAAAAGCTTTTAAAAAGCGGCTAGTTTTAAAAAATTCTAAAATGGCATTTAATTAATTTTTTTATTATTCGTGTTTTAAAAGAAGGTGAAGAATTTGTTTTATAACGTTGACAATTTTCAAATCTTTACAAAGGATGCATTTTCGGATGTTAAAAATTTAAAGCCCCGTAAAATAATATATTATGTATGTGCCGCAATGAAATTAAGAAAATCAAGTTTAAACTGAGTTGCTAAGAAAACGTATATAAATTTTAAAATTTAAAACCACAGGGTAGTTTTCATTGGAAATAATTTTACACGTTTATAGATCGTTAAGCAGTGTTGTTTTTGAGATAGTAACGTGCAGAAGCGATAAGAATCATGTGACGTAATGGTATCATAACCTTGAAAGTAATACATCGGCAAGAGATTTGGTGCCCGGAGAACGCACTCCTCCCCCTCCCCCGCTGCTTAAAAAGCAGCACATTAAATAAGTATAAAAAATTGCCAATAAGACTTTTCTATAATTATTATTTTAACAGAAAGCGAAATGTTATTTTTGTAATCTGAAAATTTCAAAACTTTATGCCCGATAAATTTTTAGATGTTGAAATTGTAAAATCACGGACTTGAAAATAATCAAAATCATGCGCCTTTCGAAAATTCGCCAAAACTGCAGAATTGAGTTGCAGTTTCCATATAATCTTCATTTAAAGAAATTGTTTCCTTGTATTCGATGACGCAATCAGTGAAATTATGAGATCTTTACTTTGTTTATTAAAAATTTTAAAAATTTTAAACATTAAATAAAAAAGATTAATCGAATTTAAAAAAATCGCTTCACCAAACTTGTCATTACATCATCATCACACTGCACTGACAACTGTGCGTGTACTAAATTTGAGCTCGAATGCTTACTAAGAAAGCAAGTTGAAAACTGATGACAAAATTCTGCCCATAGGTGAAATATTATAAGTGAACTAAACAAAAAGCGTATAATAAATACCTATTAGCGTAGCGTTTAGAGGGAAACAATCAATGAGAAATAAATCTTCTTCATCCCCCAAAAACATGATGACCAATATCATCCCTTAATTTCAGAATTTGATACTTGCTGAATTGTGAACATCCACTGTATTCCATATTATATTTTCTTATTTTATTTCCGGGTGAAAATGGTAAATCCACATTTCAGATGTTCTCAACAGCCTTGTATAAAATTATATTCAGCTGTGTTTTCTCTACATAGCGGAGCTTTTTTTCTTCCTGGCGTCAATATTCAAGATATTGGTATGGCGCATACCCTCCTTTTGCATAAATGTTTATCATAAGCAGGATAGTAATTGCCGTAGAAGATTTGATGTTACATTCCCTAGCAGAAACAAACATGACGGTAATTTCTGTTTCGTACTGTTATTTCTTTTTCCATCACGTGTTCCTTTAACTCTTACATCTTTCTCCCTTAATGCCCCATTTCACGTTGAGACTTAGTCGTTGAGGTTTGGAGTCCAGCGACCTTTTCTCTCACTTAAATATGGCCACCCATCTTTGATAGTGGCATCGTCATATTACAATAGACTGCAGCCATGCATTCGTGAAACTTGCCATTCTTCTTTCCCAAGGACTTGAGTAACATTTTTGCATTCGCAAAGACGAGAATTATTAATCTCATGTAACCATATAGAAATCGACTGACAAATCATACATTCGTTTTCATTCTCCGTAGACGTCATCTTTTCACTCAGAAAGCAATCTTTCATTTCATTACCTCAAATATATTGAGTAATTGTTTAGCTTAGAGCCTATTGAACGCTCTCTATAATTCAGATGATACTTCCTTAATATACTGTTATGATGTGTATAAATAATTCTGTAAACAATCTATTTACTTTATTTGCTCTTTTATTATTACAGAAACTGTCGGCTCTGTACAAATGGAGAAAAAAGTGGCGAAAAACACTCTTATTCTTAGTATAGCGGTTTTATTCTGCTTTAGCGCATTCTTGGCGCTACAAAGTTTTCAAAGTACTCTTTTTCCTGGAACAGGTCCGATTTCTTTGAGCATAATCTACTCTTTTGCAACCTTGTCATCACTGTATGCTCCTGTTGTAATAGAGAAAGTTGGAGTGAAGTGCACAATAGCAGTAACAACCATAACTGAGCTATTTTACATATCTACGTTTTATTACCACCAATTATATACATTAATACCCAGTGCCATACTTTTAGGGTTAAGTCTGGGCCCCATGTACTGCGCACAAATGACTTACCTCTTGAGAAACATATCCAGAATATCTTTCGTAACACAAGCCATGAGACACAAAATACAACAACGCTTCTTGAGACAATTCTCTGTTATTACAAGGTCAAGTTATCTATGGGGGCATCTAATAGCCGCTTTTATTATAAGTTTTGCTGATGAATCTACGTTTATTCCTGTTATAACAAATAGCACAGAAGTCTCATCGGTAGTTGAAATTTCCAAAATGTGCACTGGAATCTCATCTCAAATAGAGGATTTTTCGTTGGATGCAGATAAAGCAGAACTTTTTTCTTCAGCAAACACAGTATCTCCAAAGGTGACCGAAATATTTTTATATGTTTCTGCTTCCTGTTCAGTTATTGGAATTGTCTTGATAGCTGTTTTCCTGGAGAAGCTAGAGGTCCTTCTTCAACAAGACCCTTTAGAAAGACCATTGATCTCTGTAACACTAAGGCAGATTCGACTCGTTCTAATTGATAGGCATGTACGACTGGTTTGGCCAATGCTTTTTTTCATAGGAATCGAACAAGCTTTCATATTCTCTGACTTCACCCGAGTAAGTATCCTTTCTTAAATAATATTTCTTTTTTTCTTCAAAATATTTTCATATTTATGTTATTAATTTTGTGTTTAAAGTGGAGATCTTTAGCACGATATTATATATAATTATAAAATACGGATTCATAATTATATGAATATTCATAAAATGGTATCATTACTTCCTTATTAAATTAAAAACATTTCTACTCAAGTTTCTTAAACAAAAGTTAGTTGTTTATTAAAGTTAATTTAGCTTGGAGTTTATTACAAAATATCAATATATTTAATTCGAATTAAACTTCAAAATATTTAATTAGATTTGATTCTTCGATTTTGCTCACAATGCAGAACGCAGCGCGATATAACACTTAGTCCAATAGAACTTAAATGATATTAAAAAGCTATATTATTTTAGAATTTATTTATATTCTTTATTATTTGATGTAAAATTGAAAATATAACTGAAACGTTTGAATATTTTTGTAAGGAAAAGAATTACCATATTGATCCAATCCATCTTATGAGGAAATTTTCCGATCTGAGGAAAATGTTGCTAATATTATGGCCAAAGATTTGGTAGACTCCTTCACACCGAATATGACCTTCTTCCTGATCATGATAGGGAAATTAATGACCTTGTAATTGAATACATTATTTTGAACTGTGAAAGTACTGTATATATTAATCCCACGTGCTGTAGACAGGTAAGCGAATTAGCGGAAACCTAGGTATCAGAGGAGCAAATCAACGTAAACATCACAAACAATGCTCTTACAAGCCTATCGAGAATTGGTCTAGTTCTTTTAACGAACATTTTCAATGTTTGCGTACACCAAATCTGTTTCTCATAATAGTGAAAGCATTCCATTTTCATGACTATTCCTAAATCTACTAAAAATCCTTAACTACTTTCAGCTATAGCCGATTCGGACTACCGCCCTGTATTGGCTTTATTTTTGAATGAATTTTAATCTCAAGACTCACCAAACATCTCGAAAAAATGATCCACTAAATTTTACTCAGTTCGGCTTTTGCAGGTGACACAGTACTTGTAAGAAAATAAATAAAATGTGAGGCCTTTTAAAGGGTAATAAATAAAATGTGAGAGCTTGTCTTCACAGTACCATCTATCAAATACTCAATGTAACCGAAACGTCACCAAAGCTTCCGTTAAAAACTTTTCAGTCGCGGCATGCTTAATGGACTACGAGTAAACTTTCGACCATGTTTAGTGTAAAAGATAGATCCACAGGCTGTGTCTTAATCTTTTTGTAAGTTTTATCAAAGCTTTTAATTCATATCTAAAACGAGAATCTATCAAGTTAGACGGGGAAATACATTTCACACAAATATGTCTTAAATGCAGGTATTTTGCAAAGTTAAATAATGGAACCAACACTCAAATTTACATCAACAATTTGCTAAAATAAAATTCTATGTTGCACTATACGGAATTTGTAACTTAACACCAACATTCTGTGATTAACTTTTATGATCCTATCTTTAGTACAGCGCACAGATTTTTCAAAAGGCTAAACAAACTGGCATTATAAAAGTTTCTGATTACAACTCTGTACCTGAAAATGTCATCGAAAGACCAAAGTCTATCCACCACAATTCTGCATGATAATTCCTCGTTTCAAAAGTGCAGTACCATCTGAGTTCGATTTCTATTCCACAAACGGCAGCACGTGTTCATCTCACGAAGTCATTATACTGAAATTACGTTGCTTGATTCTAACCTAAATTCTTCAATTTTAGACGAGTAGTGAGATAGTGATCCCGGTTAAAATTATTGAAGTTGCATGTCAGTAACAGAACAAAATATTAGATTCCATAAATTGAAATCAATCCAAACGTTTTAACACATTTGTACGGAATTCAGCTGCATTTTATTAGTTAAGTGAAATTTAAACTAACTGAAAAGAGCTGTTCCTTGATATTTTTATCATGCAATTTCTGCTATGTGTCAATGTAGAAGTGAAGAGGCCACCTAATATTTACTCTAAGTAAGTAGGTATTAGCCCCACACACTAACTAGTGTGTGGGTCTAATACCTACTTACTAGTGTGTGGGACTAGTTTCTGCTATGTGATTGCTGCCTCTTCATAGTCTCTAAACAGCCCATCCTTGTTATCATTGAGTATTTTTCAAACTCATATTTTATTTTATAAATGTGGCCTAAGCTTTTGTTTCATATACTTATCAGGGAGAAAATAAAGCACTGCTACATTGATAAAATTCCAGCAATGGAGCTTCTATGGAAAGCTGTAGCCTTCAATAGGCAGACCCATTCCTTCATTGTGGTTTCAGCTGTTCTGGATTTCTTAGGCATCACATCTAACATGAGAATGGATTCTGCAGCTATCCCTTTTCTCGGAGATGATTCTGTAACTCTATCAGACTGTTATCTGACACTGAGACCCTAAGCATTAGTTTAAACGCAGTTAATAATATCGATTATTATTTAGTTAATGAAATACCCAAATAATATTTAATGAGATATCCAGTTTAATGTTATTTTCCGCACGAAATATCTCAATTTTACTATAACCGTTTAAACAGCCTGCAAGAAGAGTTACGCTGTATAATTAAGGAATATGATATGCAAGATATCGCTTCATAAATAGAGATAAAATTTGTAGAAAATTTAGAGAACTTCATTTTTGACTTCAAACCAGCAACTGCATGGGGCAGAAGATTAAAAACCTGTCTCCTGCAATGCTCGTATGGAAATGAAAAATGGATTTATCGATCTTAATCAAATATTTAACAAAGACTCTAACGCCATGGATAGCGGCCAAGCGGTAAGGTTGCTGAGTACTGGAAATCTGACCTGGATTTGATTTTATGCAAGCAAGCTGGCCATAGGCGTTTTCGAGATTTTCCTAATGTGTAATCTAGGTGCAAGCCAATTTCCCTTAGAAATTCCTCTACGAAATCATCCCTCCCCTTAGGTATATAGCCCTCGAGTGCTTTTCCATAATCATATAAACCAGTCAACGTTAATCAGTAAACTAATCAACATCATGTATACTCAGTACGAAGTCCAGCTTCAGGAAGAGAGGCTGCACACACCAATCATGAAGCAATACCCCCAAGAAGAATAGTTTTACTTCTCAACTAACCCACCCAACTAATCATCTTTATTACTAATTAAATTTCAGATATAATATCAAAATAATGTAATTTAGATTATATATCACACGTTATCAAATGCGTCTAAGCTCTCGCACTTTAATATCATTGAAAACAAATGAAAAAATTAATTTAAAAAGCAATTTCTTTATTTTGATCATAAGTAATACTGGTAATGTTATTTATTTTGCAACGATTCTAAATTGCCTGTAAGTAAATCATATTAGTGGCCAAACTTACTGATATTTGCTTAATTTCCATCTTTCCAGAATGTAAATTCTTAAATACAAAAAATAATTTTTAACAAACAGAACTTTTTGTTTTTCTAAAATATTATTTCTAAAATAAGTGAACATTTATAAATTTTTAATCGAATGAAACTGTATGTTTTAAAGTACCAAACCTTATTCTAAAACTTATTACTCATTTTTCAAAATTTTTCAAACATATTATTTTGTATTTGATTTTATTTCAAATATATTTTGCTTTAATACCTTATTTTGATGGCAGCACTTTCTATATTAATTTCTCATATTTCAGTATTTTATGAAAGAAATTTTTAATAATTTATTAAATAGATCCAAAAATTTTATATTACAAGTTACTGGGACAAAAACTAAAAAGCATTTTTTTTAATAACCTGAGTTATAAGAACTTAAATAATGCAATATGTGAAAAATTCGAAACTAACAAATATTTCTTCTTGAGGTTTTCAATTTACAGATACTTGAAATGCAGATAAACAATCACAAAAGTGTTTCTGGCGTGTGTTCTAATTTATGCTCAGGAATTTATTAGATTTATTAAGACTCAGTTTTATATGTATTGAGCAAACATTTTTAAAATAAATTTTTATGTAAAAAATATTTCTTTCATTTTGCATTGCTCCAGAATTCCACATATCATTCACGTGACTTGCTAAGTGTTGCCACTGCAGGATACCTGAAGTCTTTAATTTATCTTCCACACAACTTTGCTTAGCAAATAGTCAGTTTCAAGAAAACTGCCAATCCACGTGCTGTAAAATTTTTAATTTACCTTCATGTTGCTCAAAGTAAGCTGTTTAAAAGCAATAAATACGCTTATTAATAATTTACTGAGCTGCATGACATCAGTGATCATCAATTTGTAGATCAGTGGTAATTAAGGTTTAATTATATTGTAATAATATAATTAATGAGATAAATTCATGTATGATCGATCTTATGTATAGCTAATATAAAAAAATGTAGATAACCTTAGAGATCACGTTACTTATGTGTAGCTAATGTGAAAAATAATGTGGGTATCCTTAGGAATGACATGCCTTATGCATGGGTTATGTAAACAAACAAGGTCATTCCTCCTCTTCTTCTCTTGCGGAATGCACTTTATTAAAGTAATTTAAAATTAATTTCATTTATGACATTTCCTACTGATAACTTTGCAAGGATTTCCACTATCATGATATGCAAAAAAATGGCGTTTCTAAAGCCATATATTACTACGCGCCTGATAAATATTCTGAAGTTCCTAAGTATTTTATAGATGTTTGTCTTCTCTAATTCAACTAGAAAACTGAATATGGGAAACTCATATTTATCAAGTATGTTTAAATTCAATATTTTTATTTAAGTTTGGCAATAAGTTAAGATGATTTCCCGAAAAGAAATTAAGAAATTAAATCAATTAAAATTATTAGAGAAATAAACCTTAAAGCCAATTTAAAATACAACAATTGGAAAAGTAAATCGATACCATTTGAGACACTCGCTTTAGAAGGCAGACAAATTGCCTTTCAAAAACGCCATGATGCAATGGAGACAATATTATACGTCTTACAAACCTCTTTCATTCAAATGAAGACGTATTCGTGTGTTAAAAGTGTTGATGGAAAAGGCGTATCGATTTAATTCAGACAAATCCCAGTCTCCGTGCCAAACAAATTGAGATGTTTCGAGGCATTAAATGAATTTGAAAGCTCCTGTTTCGATTTCATCAATCAGTATTATTTCGCGAACAGACTTAGTTTGCTCGCTCCTTCTCGTTTACGTCGAAATATCTCCGTGTCGACAGATTAACTACAGTAATGGCAGCGGCAGGTTGTTGATGAAGAAAACATCCAACGACTCTCCAATTTTTATGCTGATTGTGAACAAACTATTAAGAGATAAGTAGAAAATGCATAAAGCATGAATAAAAAAGAGGCATTAATTTCATTTTAATGTATGAAACTGAAAAGGATCTGAAAAAATGTATATATAACAGCCAAAACAATATCATGAGGTCTTTTCAAAACTCTTTTCGTTAAGTTACGAAACGTTTTCCTCTGTAAATTTAATATTTTAAAACCTGATTATTCAATATATAATAGGTAGATTAAGCAGAAATATCGATCTCTGTGCGGCAGTCATCGGTCTAAAAGGAGCAATCCATACGATGGCTGTGATTGGGTGTTTTACGATTCATGATAACTGTATTCTGACAGTCAATCATTTCTTGTTTATTATTTCATAATGTAATTAATTTTAGATTCATAATGTAATTAATTTTATGTACCTGCCACACATTTTGGCAGAATTGTAATAATAGGTATGTGTGTATTTAATTGTTCTTTTTTACATATAAACACACACGCATACATATGTAGATCCCAGCTGGTGTTATCGTTAGATCTCCACAGGTGTTGATTTCTCTTTCACAGAAGCCGAAAAGCATAGCAGGTGCATAAGGGATCTAATTTTACAAATGCTCCTAATTGTAAAAGTACCTAATTTTATAAATGTAAAAGTTTCGTGAAATTGCTCTGTCACATTAAGAATTACCTATTTTATAATGCTGATTAAAACTTGCTACTGACGTTTTGCAATATTCTATTTTTTTTTTCACTTTGAAATTAAGCGTTCTATTCCATTAGCTTTTCAATTACTTTTGTTAAACTTAATCGGCATAAATAATTTGAATCAAATGCAATTTAATTTTGTTTGCATTTTAATCAAATGCACCTTAAACACAACACTAAACAATATTTGCATTTTAATCAAATGTAAACAATGTTTAATGTTTCAAACACTTGTACACAAAACCATGGTAAGTTTGGTTATCTACCACTAAAATTTCAGAATTTATTAGGTTAAAAAAAACCTTATAACGTTTTGTGAAGTACACAATCACGAAAACAAAAACAGTATTTTTATTGTGTGCGGGTTTGTCACCAGGCGTTCCATAGAATTCTTCCAGAATCTTTTCGTTCTTTGTTTTACATAATATACAGCATTGCAATTCCGATTTATTCACAGTATAAAATATATTCTACACAATTACACAATAATACATCTCGTGTCTGACTCTCAGAATAAAACATTCAAAATCTACGTCAACCTTCTGATTATAAATAATAAAATTTGCAATACATTCAACAGTTAATTTTAAGAGCTTAAACTACTAACCTAATCTTAATTTCATTTCATTCTAACCTAAGCCAGAGCTATAGATTCATTTTAAGTTTTACTTACTAATTGTTTTATTCTTATTTTTCCAGTCGTTCATAAGCTGTTCGTTGGGAGTGCAGTCTGTGGCGTTTACGATGATGTGCCTCGGTGGATCGAATATTTTAGGGTCCATTGCTGTGTATTTATTCTCGGAACACATCCAGCGCCTCACAATCATGGCTGCTAGTCTGGTCTGTCAAGTTGGATTGCTGATGGTTCTCTGGCTTTGGACACCTGCAAAAGACGATGCTGCTGTTCTTTACGTAGTAGCCGGCGGATGGGGATTGTGCAATGCAATATGGGAGACCTTGGCGATGAGTGAGTTTAAGCAGCAAAAATTTCATTAAAATATTAAAAATGTATACATGTGTTACATTTTTAATCATTCAGATAATACTTGTATAATCAACAAATTCTCTCCGTCCCTGGTTAGATATAATATGTTGAAACTTCCGCATACTAAATATTTGGGCAATAAACTTGTCTTTTTAAGCAAACTGAATCTATTCGTTTTAAACGTCTGCTGCTCCACATTATGGGTTAAAAATATGCAAAAATAAAACATAATATTTATTTGTGACAAGTAAACGTCGTATGTATAATAATTACTTTCAAAAGCTAAATCGTCTTCTACCTTATCTCAAGAATCGGCATCTATAATTCAGATTTAGTTAAATTTTTTAAGACATTATTAGCATTTTATTAAAACTGAGCTACAGTACGATTTCTCAAATTTTCTAAAGTTTGTTTCATGTCTCTGATAAATAATTAATTAAAATAAAATCATTAATTTTGAAACTTAAAATTTCAAAACTGTATTACTGTATTTTGTGGAAATTAAATAATAGATTTGGAGTTGTAATTCAATGGAACAAATGGTTGGATAAAGCTTTTACTCCAAACAGTTAAAATTTACTGTTTTTGGTGTTAGCTGAATATTAATTTCATGTGATGTCCTAATAATAACAACTAGTTGTAATGATTAAAACGTATGTTGTATTGCATTCTATATTTCATTCACTATAAAGAAGAATTTTTAAAAAATGCAGATTAATAAAGTTTGAGTTTCGTATCTTCAGATAAAATGTTTTACAACTTCGTTTTATATTTCGGAAATTTTTCAAAATTAATGTATTTTTATCTCTAATGGGCGTCGTCCCAGAAGGGCTATTAGTCTCGAATCATTTTAAATGTCCGAATCACTAAGTGTTGTCACCAAATATTATCGCCCTATAATATATTTAAGGAAACTAAATAGTGAAGAATCTACATGAATGTATGTATGTTTCTCGCACTGTGAAAAAACAACTGTCCTAGAGTCATAAAATTTTGAAGAACGTATGTTTCTCCACCCGAACATGAGTACATGGAAGCCCTAATTTGGAATTTTTTTTTTTTTTTTTGTCTATTTCATATTTTGTAAAACTTTAATGATTTTGTTATTAACAAAATCAACGATTTTAAAGCGAGCAGTGGCAACAATATCCGAAATAAAATATTTTTATCTCCAGAGTGCGAACTGTCTATCGGAACTTCTAAAGATACGCTATTTTTAAATATTTTGTGATTTTGCTGTCGAATAGAATTTTAGGTGGTGTAAACACCGAGAACGTGATATTTAATAAAAACAGAAAAATGTATGCTAATACTTACCGCTGAATCAAACGTATACTGCTAAGTTGTTTTTAAATTTTTTGTACTTTTGCTGTTGAATTATATATAGCGTAAGTGCTAAGAAAATTATGCTTAGCAAAAAAAGCTTTCAAATTTTATATACACTCTTTTGCAAAAAATCGAAGCACCATGAAGGAAGTGGTTGTTTTTGATGAAATTGAATATGTGCATAGCTCATATACAGATAATAAAATGGTTAAAAAATCAAAGTCATAGTACGTGTTCACGGCTCACAATCACCCATTGAGTGTTCAAATTAGTAGTTGATCGAACCGCCCCTGGCGGCAATGCATGCTTGAATTCGTCGAGGCAAGGAGTAATAGAGGTTCCTAATGTCATCCTGGGACACATTCTGCCAGGCATTCGTCAGTTGTCGCTCCAAATCTATGATATTTTGTCGTGCCCGAATCTGGAGGTCTACCATGTCCCAGACATGCTCTATTGGTGAAAAGTCTGGTGACCTTGCTGGCCAAGGAAGAGTATATACGCACGAAAACAGTCCAGAGTTAAGCAAGCGGTATGTCGCCTGGCATTATCTTGTTGGAAAATGGCTCCAAGATGATATGCCATGAAGGGTAATGCAACCGGCCGCAGGATGGTATCAACATATCGTTGAGCTGTTAAAGATGTATGGAGAAGGACTAAAGATGACCTGCTGTCATAAGAAATAGCGCCCCACACCATCACACCAGGGGTTATGGCCGCATGGCTTTGTAAAACAAAGGCTGATTAGGACCGCTGGCCCCATCCTCTCCAGACACGAACACGGTGGTCATCTGCTTCAAGAGTATGCGGGATTCATCGCTGAACACTATACGATACCAGTCTGAAGGCAGCCATGATGATCGGCTGCGACACCACTCCAGACTACTCCGCCGATGTTGTGTGGTCAAAGGCAAATGTCTTAAAAGCCTCTGTGAGCGTAAGCCCGCCTCAGACAAGCGCCGTGAGATAGTGGACGGTACTACAAGAGGTATAGACGTGGCTGTAAGTGAAGTGCGCTGAATAGTCGACAATGATACCGTTGGGGCGGTTCGGGCCTTGGCGAACAATCATACTTTCTTGCCTCGCATTTTGTGCTCCTCAGTCTTCCAGAGCCTTCATTTTGTCGGCAATTTCCTTGTAGCAACCATTGCTGCCAACATCTTTGCACAGCAGTGTATGTGCGCTGCAGGTGGCGGCGTATTGCTCGGTATGACCCACCCAGCTTCACACAACCCTACAATGCGACCACGTTCGAAGTCGTTTAATTGTCTGTAATCGTAGTCGATATCGTCGTAATGGCATCTATAGTTGCTTCCTTACGAAATTACAATTGCAGCAACAAAAAAAGATACATTTTCCGCCTCTGTTACTGGTTTTATACTTTGCGAATTGCGCATTAAAAATGCGCACTATGATCGCAATTCTCGTTCATTTGCCTTGAAACTTTGATCATTTGCATGTTCGATCAAGATGCTTTCGCATACCAAATTTCGTCAAGATTGCGAAATCCTATGATTTTCCTTCTTTCACTGAAGGAATCGGTTGTTATCGGGTCTTTACGATCTAAGCGTTATATAATACATCTGAGAAATATTGAGTAATATCTTCTAAAAAAACATGGTGAAATTGCAGACGATGCTTCAATAATAGGATTAACTGATTCCATACTGTAGGAGTTGTATATTCGAAATTAAAGTTTCATTTAACTTCAGGAATGTTAGCTTGTACTGTTGAACAATTTATAGTTCAGGATTCCAGATCTTTAAAATAAGCCACGTGATTCGAAGCATGTTAATTCACACGAAAGGACTGCATTTTGTAGGTTACGAAAAACATGCGAGCGCTATCACCCGGAAGTAAAAGTTCCTTTGTAAATAGAGGATTTTTAAGGGAACTTGACTCAGTTTCACTTGGGAAATAACATGAAACTTCCATGCAGCTAGTTTGTTTGTCAGAATTTAAAGCCTTTCGTACTACTAGTATTCAGTGGCTTTACTGCTCGCCTCTCATTCGAATTCAGGATTACAGATATATCTTGCTAAATTAAGATTAAAATATTATGTATATTAAGTGTTATATATAAAAATATAATAAATTTTAAGTGTCTATATAATTTACATTACATATTTTAATTGAACTAACAACACATTAACAAAGAATTATTTTAAGGTAAAATTTCAGAGATAGAAACTTTTGTAAATATAGAAAGATTTTCGACCTCCTTCAGTTTTATACCTTTGTATTAATCTTCTCTGTAATTTATTGAGTTATCGTAGCATGTAAATGTAATCCAAATCATGATAGGCAGGAAATGCTCGTATAGGTAACCCTGCCATTTCTACAATCCTACCCCCTCTATTTTTTTCTTTCTCTTGGTTCATTTCCACTGCAAGCAGAATAATTCCACAGATTCAAAAGTTTTATAAAATGTCTTTTCACTTATTTAATTATGTTTAACTCATGCTGTTGATTGCTCACGCTGTTATTGTTGATTTATCACTCGCGAACGCAAATAAAATAGCTTTTAACAAGGCGAAAATAAGGGAAAAATTCTACAAAACTAAGTTAAATTGTCATCCGAAACCCCATGCTGAGAGCAGTAAATTTATACAGCTCACTACTATAAATGCAGTGACAACTCCGAGCTGTTAATGAAGTTACTGACGAGACTAAAAGATTGATAAAGCTGACGCTAAAGTTATGCGAATCACAGGGATTATATCTATCTACTAAATGTATATTATATATTTAATAATAACTTCTGGAATCCGCTTAAATACTCTTAGAACAGAATTAGATTGAAAAAAAGGAATAAACAATGTTAGAACTTGAAGCAAACCTGATTAGTTAAAAGCTTTCCCAAATAATGTTTAAAAATTTCATTCACTCATTATGTGTGATTTTAAAAGCTGTTACCCTCCCCCCCCCCCGTGGTAGAAATCATTTCAAATATTAATCCACCAATAGTCGACTTCATAAAAATGCTAAACTTTGGTAATTCGACCTGAGTTTAATTTCTGGCGAATGGACTAGTTGCGTTAGATTGCATTCCGTGATTTTCCATGTATATAATATAAACACGAAACAGTTTTCTCAGAAATTCCTCCATGAGGGTATTTCCTTTGGCAGATAGTTCTAATGTTCTCTGTTATAAATAAATATTCCAATTTATTCCATACGTTGTCTGGAAATTTGCAAAGTGAAATATAATTTGATGGGTACTTTATATTTTCATTTGCTGAAATGCTTTGAAAATTCAAACTTAGCTGATTCTTATTTTGTTCTTTTTGATTTCTTACGTTTGTTCTTAATCTGCCAGCAAACAACAGATACACTGTATTATTTAGTTACGAAAGCAGATAGATGAAGTTGCGACCATACTGCAAACAGACAGTTACATAACTATTCAAAAATTCGTAGAATTTCTGCTTTTTAACTCTAATGAGCAAATGATAATGTCAGAAAGTTCCAGAATATTTTTTTGTTGTTATTGTATGTAAAACACCTCTTATAAAAGCTTTCTGCAATTTCTTGATGCAATGATTTTGGAATACTTCGTAACATAACAAGGCAGCATGACTGAAAGCCAAAATGATCAAATCTTCATGTATATCCTTAATCCAATTCGAAGAATTTTCTTGTAGTACTGCATAGATCCT